CCACCGGCGGCTCAGTACGACTCGACTCGGTGCGCGCGGTCGCACGTTACGTGCGTACGTACGTGCGTACGTGCGAGCGTGCGTGCGTGCGTGCGTACGTGCAAACGAACGACACGCAATCCGTGACATCGTCAGAGAGGAGTCCTCGACCGAGCGATCAACTAACGAAATCAGCAGCAGCAGTTATCCGCCACCGACCGGCGCTACTGCCGCAGTGCCGCTGCCGTCGTCGTTGTCGATTCAATCCACCTTGCGTCGCGAGTGAATTGAATTGGAACCAAATTGAGAAGCCAAATTGAGTCGCCGGTCGGACGTTTTACAACGTCGTACCACAGCGTTTCACATACTTTTCGCACAGTGTAGGTGGGAGCACCTACGTTCGCGGAAGGAAGGAAGAAGAACGAACGGACAGACGGACGGACGATCGGTAGGCAGGCAGGCAGGCAGGCAGGCAGGCAGACACGGGCGTGCATTCGTATGTGACAACGCCTAGCCATTCGGAGATTATCGCGATCCCAGTGACGGTTCACGGTAACGGCGACGACCAAAAAGCCGGCTAAAGTTCGAAAGAGCGAGTACTGCGTGAACGAAACCGAAGATTTCGGGAACGGCGATCTGATTTACCGGAGGAAACGAGTTCTCCACGTGTGCTATGTGCGACAAACGTCCTCCTTGGCAGAGTATACTTCATCATTGTCCTCTACCTCCGCTACTTCCTCTCGTTGTTCGGTACACAGCTTGAATGGTAAGGCATGTTGAAGGGTCGCGTGGACTGAGAACAGGCAGGAGAGAAAGAGAATTAATGCAATCGGGTATAAAGCCGCGTGACGTGCATTGTGGTAACAGTGTGTGCCTTTCTTTCCTTTCCTCGTGAGTTCAGAGTGTGTTATTCGTCACAGCCGCGGCTACGGAATGCGGCTTCTTCGGGGCGGAGGTGATCTCGGTCTTTAGTCGTGAGACGAGCCCGCTGTCTGCGGAAAAGGAAAGGTTCGGAACATCCGGAGGAAACAGACGCGAGCACTCCCATTTGAGCATCACCAGGATAGTGCCTCTGTTAATGCCAAAATGTCGTCAGGGGCCTTCGTCGACAGGATAGATCCCTTCGCCAAGCGATCTCTCAAGAAGAAATCCAAGAAGTCGCAGGGTTCTTCCCGATATCGCAACTCCCAGGATGTTGAGCTTCAGCAGTTGCCTCTGCTTAAAGGTTAGTCCATACTTGGAAAAAAATATGGGGCAATTACACAAGTTTACCTACGTGTTAATTAATATATAGTTGGATAAACCTGTGTACATAAATTGGCTATCTTATACAATTGTAAAAACTCTAAAATAGTTTATTCGACTAAATAATTATATATATAGTTGAATATAAGAATAATCTATATATATGTATAGTTGAATATATATATATATATACATATATACGCACACGTTAATTCTGTACATAAAAGTGCATAATTGCCATCTTTATAGTTGCTATCACTGAATGTGACGAAGAGAGATCTTTCCATTTGTTTCAAATGTTCCGTGTCTGTCTACCAAACGGGGAGAAGCGAGCTTGATTCTCAGACCTTAGATACACATATATATGTTGTGTGTATATGTGTATATATATGTATAAAATTACTATATATATATATATAATTACTTAGTTATTCTGAGCTAGATAAATAAAACTGCAATATATTTTCAATGGGAAGATGAGAACAAAAATTGCCATGATCTCGTAAAAAATTATGTAAAATTTGTGCAAACTCATTCAGCTTGGTGTCTTTTATTTTATGCGAATACGTCGATTCGTTTCTTTCGGTATCTTGACTCAACATTCTTTTATCTTTTGGTAATAAAACAATAAAATATGAAGGATTCTTGATCTATAAAATCACGCTGAGGACACGTGTTCGGATTCCCACCCAAGTGTTCTCCAGGTGTCATTCTTGTTTAACGTTCGGTAAATAATAAGGATGGAATGATACCTGGATGGTACTCGGGTAGGAATCGGAACATAGCCCGGCCGAGGAAGGCGATATAGAGAATGTTTAACAAAGTTTCCAATTCTATGTGGATTTAGCACTTTTTCGCGAGCGACGTGGCTTAAGTAGATATAATATCTTGGAGTAAATGTTCAGTATAGCGCCTTTTCCTTGATTTTCTTATAATTTTGTAAATTTGTGTATTTTCATGCATAAAATATTGTGAGAAGAAAAATCGTCGCTCAAGTCTCGTTTTCTATTATTTAATTTCAAAGTTTTTTTATGACGGCAAGTTTAAAAATGATAATTTGATGATATTTTACAACTGCACATGCTCATTGTTGTCATTTATGAAATAATAATATCAGTTCAGTTATAAATTAAGTATAAAATGAGATATTCAATCGAACAACTTAATAATAATAAAAAATCAACAATTCAATTATATAAAAAAATTACAATTTAATTATATGAGAAAATTACAACTTAAAAAAAATTTATGTTTTTAATTAATTAAAGCAGAGAATATGCAAATATGCATTAATGAGCATGCGCAGTTGTAAACTATATATCATTGAATTATCATTTTCCAACTTACCGACATTAAAAAACTTGGAAGTTTAAATAGTAAAAAAACGAGACTTGAACGATGATTTTCCTTCTCGAAATATATTCTACGTATGAAAATACACAAATTTACAAAATTATAGAAAAATCGAAGGAGAGGGGCGTTATACTGACATTTACTTATCTTTCGAATAATTAGCAGTAATTTTATCATCAGGGCCCATATTCTGTATACGTTGGTACACGTCTACCGATATAGTTGTCGGTGTCGATAACTAATAATAGCCAATGACAAGGACGATCCTAGGAAAAAAGCGCGATTCTTATTGGCTGTCGCTATTTAACGATACCGACAATTGTCGGTAGACGTATTAGTACAGAATACGCGGATCCTGACTTATATGGTCCTCAGAGCTATAGGCTGTATTCGGATCTTATATTTAAGTTCTTAAGAGAAAGCTAAAGCTGTTTGTATTACCGATTAAATCGTAATTCTTGTATAACAATTACTTTTTTCCTCTTTTACAGATTCGAAAATCCTTTCCTAGAATTAAAGTATACGCATTAATACATGTGTGTTTGTGAGGTGGAGTTTATACCGAGAACGACAAAAAATTTCAAAATTAAAATCTTAAGAAAAATCTTAAAAAAGTATTGTTATAAAAATATTTTCGAATCTGTAAAAGAGATGAAAAAAGTAATTGTTATAAAAAAATTACGATTTAGTTGGTAATACAGACGGCTTTAGGATTCTCTTAAGTACAGTCTAATGAAGATATCATGAACCAATCAGAGGGCTGTATTAGCATCATAAGACATTATTTAAGACGATCGTAAAATAAGTACCGACTGTGAATGCCGGCCTATCACATACAAAATGACATGAGCTGCATAACCATAGCATGAGTTCGCTGAACCAATAAGCATCCAACATAAAGACGCCATGTTGATTTACATAAGATGCTCATTGGTCCAGCGGCTTTATGCTGTGATATTATGCAGTTTATATCATTTTGTGTGTGAGGACCCTAAGTATGATTGGATAATTTTCTTTATATATACGTTTATACGTTTATGCGGCTATGTAAGTTTGTGTGGATATACCCCAAAGCCTGTCACACATGCATAACTAAGACTGTTGGACCAATGAGCATCCAGCATAATATCGCCATATTGATTTTACATAAGATGCTCATTGATTCTTCAGCGGTCTTATGTTATGCTTATGCTATACCAATGAGCATCTTATGTGAATCAATATGGCGACATTATGCTGGATGCTCATTGGTTCAG